CTGAATAGTTTTAAAGAAGAGAATATTTTAAAGAGAAGAGTTTTTAAAAGGAGAGTGCAACAACCAATAGAAGAGAAAGGAGTGGAGTTCAGAGAATCCTTAGCAGGGACCCAAATCTGGCTCAAGCATGTCAAACTCACGGCCCATGCCCATTCCCATGCCACTCTCAGGCCAGCAAGAGTAAAGTAGAAAAAGTAGCCTGCTATACATAATGACTGGCAATTCCACTGATTAGTCCAAGTTTTCAGACCACCTGACTCCACTACCCCCAGCATCTGCTGTCAGGACTGAGGAAGCCGAAAATGCCATACTGAATTCCACAGTGACAGAGGCCAGTAACTCACAGGTAGGTAGAGGGCAAGTCCCATCCCAGCAGAAGCCAACAGTGGGAAGAGGATGACCGTGAATCAGATAGTCCCTCCCACAATGACAAAGAAGCTCCCTGGAATCCAGTCACCACCCAGTGGAGATGGAAGAGGGGACAGACAAATATAAAGTGCCATATAAAGAGAGACTAGGGGACGAGCAGCATGCAGGCAAGGAGTTGCATTAATCTGCGTTAGAGAACATAAACAGAGTTAAAACAGGCACCAACCTTCCTGCAATTCCCAGCCTGTGCTCAAGAGAGGTTGTGTGGTGTCAGAAATCTGGTCAAGTCTGCCCCAGCCACGGACCCATACACGGTCCATCTGCGACCTTGCAGCCTGAGCCTGGTGATAACCTGTCCTCAGCCCTCTCAGCATGGACACCAGAGGTTCCCACTGGCTGCAGCCCAGGACTCGTTAGTGAAGGCCCTGCACAATCTACAGGCAGCCCTTGTGGCCCAGAGGGTCAAACACCAAGTAGGCATTCCCCCTGCAAGCACCCTGTGGCCTGTGTGCTCTGTCGACCTCTGTGCACACCCAGCCACCGACTGCTCATTACCGGATCCCCGGCTGCACTCTGTGGCCTATTGTTTACCCAGCACCTCCAGACCAGTCCCACCCTGGCCAAACTAGTCAACATCTCTGATACCTGGTGGCCAAACCACACCTTCTCAAACAAGGTCTGAGCCCCTTCCAAGTATGTCCTTCCTTGGACCCTCTCTCAACTCTAGAGCACCACACAGTTTCCTTATGTGTTATAATTACTCTTTCATTATAGTTAACAATTCTTCATCTCAAACTTCCCGATTAACCTAATGTATGATTTCTATCTATTGAATGGACCCAGAGGGCTAACTACCTCCTAATGTCAAAATCAAGCCTGTTAACGTTTCCTCTTTCTCTCCTGATGCCTCCCTCAAAATCAGCATTTCCTCTCCAATCCCTGGGCCATCCCCAGTCCCTAATATCTCTCTCCTGTAGAGATGGTCTATAGCAGTGGTTGGCAAACCGCGGCTCGCGAGCCACATGCGGCTCTTTGGCCCCTTGAGTGTGGCTCTTCCACAAAATACCATGTGCGGGCGCACACGTACAGTGCGATTGAAACTTCGTGGCCCATGTGCAGAAGTCGGTTTTCAGCCTGGGCGAGTCTATTTTGAAGAAGTGGCGTTAGTAAGAAGTGGGGGTACGTTCGCTGAAGTCGACCCCTCAGATTGAGGACATTTTTAGCAAAGGCCAGCTTAGGAGTACCCTAATTAAGTTAATAACAATGTACCTACCTATATAGTTTAAGTTTAAAAAATTTGGCTTTCAAAAGAAATTTCAATCGTCGTATTATTGATATCTGGCTCTGTTGACTAATGAGTTTGCCGACCACTGGTCTATAGAGCTCTACTCTATAACCCTCCCCCCAAACACCATCCTATTTGTCAACTTCAGAACACATATCCTATCACATCAAACGTGAATGCCTACATTGAGATTTTAAGGCCTCTGAGACTTGGCCTTACCTGGCCAGTCCATCCCAACCACACATTGGGAATACTTCCCTCAGGTAAGACTCATGCAGGTGTCTAGCCCTCACCATGTCTAATCCTACTGTCATGTCGGTGTTCATGTTCTTTTCTTCCCCCTCTTTCCCCACTAATCCCAGAGCCTGCTGGAGCCAGCTCTAAGGGCCCATCATCCATTAGTCCTTTTGGAATGATTTATTCCTACTTGTCTGTGTTGCCTTCACTACACAGTTAACACCTTGGTACACCCTGTGGTCTGAATTCTCTAAGCAGACATACACCACCCTTCCCATTAATCCAGTGATACTCTTTCTCTAATTTATGTGTTCACGGCTAATTACCCTAATATATTTAATGCTTCATATTTCTTATAGTGTTTGACAAATATTTGCATAGTGATAAGTTCAATATAAAATGAAGGGAAAACTGGACTAAATCAAATAGTTTTAACCCTTATATGGCTTGCCACATGGAGCCCAAGCAGGATTTCAACCCAACCCTATACAACTGTATGTGGCAGCACTGAACCTATAAATACTGGATTTATGGATGGACCTGGAAGACTACTATGCTAAGTTAAATAAGCCAATCTGAGAAAGACGAATATCACATGATCTCACTTATTTGTTGAATCTAATGAAAAAAATGAACTGACCAGCAAAATAAGACCTAAAGCATGAAGGCATGAAACAGAATGACATATCTCAATGTGGGGATGGGGGGATGAGAAGAGATAAACCAAAAAACTTATATACTTAAATGCATGGCCCATGAACACAAGCAATGGGGTGGTGAAGACCTGGGGTAAGGGTAGCGGGGGTGGGGGGGGCGGGAGGAGTAGAGGCTGGGCAGAAGGGAGTAAATGGGGGGGGGCAGAGAATGGGAGACATCTGCAATAATGTCAACAATTTTAAAATATATATATATATCCTATCTAATAAAAGACAAAAAGGGTAATTAACCGTACCTCCGCTACGCTTCCCATTGGCTAATCAGAGAGATATGCAAATTAACTGCCAACAAAGATGGCGGCTGGCAGCCACGCAGCTGAAGCGAGCAGGAGGCTTGCTTGCTCCAGTGATGGAGGAAGCCAAGGTTCCCCACCTGCCGCGGCCTGCTCTAAGCTCCAAAAGCAACAACTCCAAAAGCAACAAAGTTTCAATGATAGAAGCTAAACAAACTCCAGATACCTGCTTTCAGCCAGTTGCGGCCTCAGAGCTGGAGCGAGCAGGACGGCAACAAAGTTTTAATTATAGAAGCCAAACAAACCCCAGATACCTTCTTTCAGCCAGCCGCAGCCTCAGAGCTGGGAGCGCCAGTGACGGCAACAAAGTTTCAATTATAGAAGGTAAATAAATCCCAGAATAAAAAATAAAATAAAATAAGGAGAGGCTGGGAGCTTCAGTTGCCGGTCAGCCTGAAAACAGCCATCAGCCCCTCATCCAGGCTGGCCAGGCACCCCAGTAGGGACCCCCACCCTGAAGGGGGTGTGACCAGCTGCAAACAGCCATCAGCCCCTCACCCAGGCTGGCCAGGCACCCAAGCGGGACCCCCACCCTGATCCGGGACACCCTTCAGGGCAAACCAGCCGGCCCCCACCCGTGCACCAGGCCTCTATCCTATATAGTAAAAGGGTAATATGCAAACTGACCCTAACAGCAGAAAGACTGGGAATGACTGGTCACTATGACACACACTGACCACCAGGGGGCAGAAGCCCAATGCAGGAGCTGCCCTCTGGTGGTCAGTGCAATCCCACATGGGGGAGCTCTGCTCAGCCACAAGCCAGGCTGATGGCTGCCAGTACAGCGGTGGTGGTGGGAGCCTCTCCTGCCTCCTCAGCAGTGCTAAGGATGTCTGATTGCAGCTTAGGTCTGCTCCCCGCTGGCAAGTGGACATCCCCCGAGGGCTGCCAGGCTGCCAGAGGGATGTCTGATTGCCAGCTTAGGCCCAATCCCCCGGGGAGCAGGCCTAAGCCAGCAGGTGGTCATCCCTCGAGGGGTCCCAGACTGCGAGAGGGCACAGACTGGGCTAAGGGACCCCCCCCCCCCCAGAGTGCACAAATTTTTGTGCACTGGGCCTCTAGTTAAATAAATAAAAATGCTGACTTTTTTTTAAAAAGTCAAATTATATTTTAAAACTTTTAAAGAAAGTTGTACCTTGAACTTTATTTTAGTAGAATTTTATTCTATTGTATATCACTCAAATGCAAACAATATCTCAGCTTGGGCATTAAATTAGTTATGTGACAAATTTCATGCTGTAGTAGCTACTGTGATGGAATTCTTTTCACAACCAACATTAATTGAGGGTCTAAGTCTATGCCAGGCCCTGGACCTAGGTCCAGGGATAAAAATGTGGTACCTGACTCACGAAGCTATAGCACAGTAAAGAAACCTATATTTAGAAGGAACATTTTCTTGATATTATACTTACTGATAAACTTGTTTTGCATAGTCTCCAGCAGAGCTTGGTGAGCATCCTCGGCCTGTAAAGCGTGTGAACATTCTCTAGCCAGTATGGTGCGTACAAGATGCTCCCCACATCCTAGAAAGTGAAGGAAACCAAAAATTGTTGAGGAAAAGCAGTAGTAAGCATCTGTCTTGTGTTACGAGCATTAAAACACCCTTATGCACTTCTTAAGAAGTAGCAGTGCTGGAGATTCAGTGATGGATGAAATGATTTCTATGAGCAATCTAGTCATTTTAGTAATGAGATTTGGCAGAAACTAGAGAAACACATGACTGTCTAATCTCAAAAGAAAACAAACACACACACAAAAACAGCAAAATCTTTTTCATAGGAATGATTTGTACAATACAAGAATTTAGATTCTCTACCTAGGAATCTCCTAGGGGTCTGTTACATTTCCATGGTTGGGTAACTACAGAAAAAACTCTGCTCTATAATTTCTTTATCTGTTTACATTCCATTAACCCTGGTCTCCCATTTCCCTCTCGTTCCCCACACACCTGGTAGCCTGGGGGAATATGAATCAGCCAGAACCAATCTGAATATCCCCCTCCCTACTTTTCACTGAAATGTTCACCACACATCAACAGCTGTAAAGTGGGCTTAATAAAACAGCATCTTTCTCATCTTCTTATGGCAATTTATGTAGCTTTCAAGGGTGAATACTCTCTGTAGTTCTAAAGAAAGAGTGCGTTTTAACCCCCTGAGTTGAATTTGACCCTTCAGACGCACTTTAAAAAGGGTAGGCATGGTGGTGATGGGCACTGCCTAGAATCTGATTATAGTCTCTACCTGTTAAAAGTAGAAACTGCCTATAAAAGTAGAGACAAAGGAAATTTAATTTATAGGCTGTTAAGTTCAAATAAAAGATTGCTAAAGAAAGAGCCTGATTTTTTTCTTAGAAATAAAAAATGTAAAAAAAGCTACTCTGACAGACATTGGAGAGGTAAGCCTTTCTTAAAATATAGTAAATGATATTTCAAATGCTTTTTTATATATGAAATCAATTTCACTATTAAAATTACAGGGTCCTCTTATTCAAGTGAGAAGGGTAGATACACAAGGTTTTTCTTAAAAACTTTTTTCCATTCGAAATGATTCCTCTCCCCAATGGAACAGAAGTCCCCATCTCTTAAAAAAAAATCCTGCCAAAGGTGTTCTGTTAGTTCATTAGAAAATCAAGTCCTCCATTAATTCACACAACAGGGAAAGGGTATCAAATGATCTAAGCATCTACTGAGACTAAAATATGACTCAACCCTATCATCAAAAACAATCACAGCAGCCCTAACCAGTTTGGCTCAGTGGATAGAGCGTCGGCCTGTGGACTGAGGGGTCCCAGGTTCGATTCCGGTTAAGGGCATGTACCTTGGTTGCGGGCACATACCCAGTAGGGGGTGTGCAGGAGGCAGTTGATCGATATTTCTCTCTCATCGATGTTTCTAACACTCTATCCCTCCCCCTTCCTCTCTGTGAAAAATCAATAAAATATATTTAAAAAGAAACCAATCACAGCAAAAAAAATAAGCATCTCCAGGATCCACTCAGTTTCTCCAACGGACCAGGGACACAGTAACTTTGTTTCATGTCATTAATTTGCACACAGATATGTGCATGCACACACACTACACTGGTAAATGGAGAGGGCTGGTAATTAGCAATCCCAAAGAAATGTGGATGAAGATTATTAAATTAAATAACCTCTTTTAATTAATGCCTTAAAATTCTTAAATTCATGAAACTTAACCAACACAAACATATGATACACAGTTCTCTGTTCAGCTAGTATGTATTATGACAGGCATTAGGCACTAACAACAAATCTCACTAAAGATACAAGCTGTAATTGTTAAACCATGCTGGTACCTTTCATTTCAGAAGTATTTTCATATATAGACTTCTCATTTCTCTCTCTCACCCTCTTCCCCCCTCTATACATACATGCACATATAAACACACATGTGTATATTACATATACACATATAATATAGGCTCATTGCCAAAAGTACAAACTGTTTAAAAAATACTAAGTTTTTTAAAAAACCATCTGATATTTTGCCTGAAAGAATTCCCCTATACTTTTTGGTAAAGTGGAAATGTAAATACCCTTCAAGATTTAAATATGTCTTTGTGAGTATCTACACTTACGGGAAGGCTTAGGTATGCAATTTAATATATAACTTTGTAGGCATGATTATAGTGATTCCTGTTTGGTTAAATTTTTGCAATATTATTTTTATAATCATAAAAAAATGACAATAAAGCAAATAGAAACCATTTTTGACATTTACTATACTAAGCTCATGAAACTCCATAAATTTTAATTCCCTTTGTGTACATATCTGATGTTGAGCAGTGAAATGTTATACTTTAGAACAATAATAATTGTTAGGAAATTGGCATATTATAAGCTAAATGAGTGTTCAGAAGGTTATGTACACACACCTCGAGTCAAACAGCTAAACCACATGAAGTTAACATTACATCAAAAATACACAATATATGTCAGAGAGACTTTTTCCTCTGTTGTTCTACAGGAATAGCAAGCAGGGTTTCCCTCTGATTGACTTTACCAAGGAACTTTTAAAATTATGACTACTATTCTGACATATATCACCTCCAACATAAGAGCCTTGACACCAAAAGCTTGTTCTCCTGCAGGTTCCAATCAAAGAAAAATTTGTCTTCTGTGGTTTTACCCACAAAATTCCAAGACTTCTTAAACATGATGCCATGTAGCTGATGTGTAATTCAATGGAAAACAGTTCCATTCTTTATTCAAAGATATTAGAAATAAGCCTTTCATTACACCCTCCTTTTGTCCTAACTCATGCAAGAGTGTATTTATGTTCTCAGATCTCAGCAGGAAATATGGATTATATATAGAATGAAGACCTAATACCTAGCCTAGAAGAAAAGTGAAATAAATACCAAGTTCTAAAAGAACTTAGAAAAGTACACACTTATTTAGCATCAATAAGAATGACAACTGAATGGATTGGAACACATAGTGAATTCATAACTTATGTTTTAAAAAGCTTTTGTTGGCCTGGCCAGGTGACTCAGTTGGTTGGAGCATTACCCCGTGCACTGAAGGGTCATGGGTTGGATGCTTGGTTAGGGCACATACCCAGATTGCGGGATCAATCCCCAGTCAGGGAGCATAGAGGAGGCAACCAATTGATGTTTTTCTCTCTCTTTCTCCCTCTCCCTTCCTCTCTCTCTAGAATCAATGAAAAACATATCCTCAGGTGAGGATAAAAAAAAAAAAGCCTTAGTTACTTTTAGAGGATAATATGATATGGAACCAACTTACTCTTCTGAAAACTGGTAAGTAAAAACCCAAAATGAATTTCTCCGTAGCTCTTATAGGAACTATACAGCAGGGTAACCAAATAGTTTATAAAGAAAAATTTTCTCCACAGAATTATCCCAGCTAATAAATAAAGAAGAAATTAACAGAATTAGAATATTACCATTTGTAATATTTAATGCAACAGTCATAACTGGCTGCTAATATCACAAAAAGATACAACCAGAGAATACATATCTCTTGACAAAATTACACGTTTATGGTGTCCCCCCCCCCCACACACACACACTGAAAATATTACTAAATCTGATGAAACCTCCAAATTCAATGATCACTTTGCAGAAATACAGGGAAAGAAGAAAAAGCTACAGTTAACATCAAACTTAATTGTGAAAGGTTGAATTGTTTCTCCCGAAGATCAGGAACAAGGCAAGGATGTCTGCTTTTATCACTGCTATTCAACAATACACTAGAGGTTCCAGCCATCACAGTGGGCAAGAAAAAGAAATAAAAGGCTTAAAATCAGAAAGGAAGAAGTAAAACTGCTCCAACTTGCAGATAATATAATTGTTTATGTAGAAAACTGCAGGGGAAATCAACAAAACAACTACTAGAGGTATCTCCCCAGATTCTTCCTATCTGGTTAGCAGCCTAGGGCAAAGTTCACAGCAGATACCTGCCTGGTACTTACCAGCACCCAAAATGTGGACCTGATTTTCACTTCCTCCACCCATTCTTTCACCAGATTGTTACCGAGCACCTACTTGGTCCAGAATACACAGCAGCTGGCAGGGGTGCTGCTGCGTATTTCCAGATCTCCCCTGCTGGGCTACTGAGCACTCACTCAACTGTCACTGTGACCAATCCAGATGCCAGAGCCCTGTCTATGTATCCTACATGCCAACCTTAGGGATTTAGATGGTAACCCAGGACTCAGCAGGAACCCTGGACATTCCCAGAGCCATCTCCAGGGCCAGGTGACCTGTTAACCTCAATTGTTGGCCCAGTCTCAGCAGACTCTCTCCCAGTGTGCTACCTGTTGCTGAGACCCTGGTATGTGCCACATCCAAAGACTTCAAAATTATAATAAACTTCCTCTCTTGTGGAGATCATTAACCTATCATGATCCACACTAAAGACAAACTCATAATAAAAAATTACAAACCATAAACACATATATGCAAACACATACACACACACTCAGAAGATAGAATGTACAGATGCAAAAATCAGAATGATCAAACCACGAAGTAGTGATAATAGAACACTAGTTGGCAAACTGTTTCTGTAAAATAAAATAAAAAGATAAAGTAACTATTTTAGGCTTTGCAGACTACATTGGATCTCGGTCAAGTATTCTGCTTCTTTTATTTTTGTAAGAACCTTTTGAAAGTTTAAAAATCATTCTTAATTCATGAGCTGTACAAGCATAGGCCATGGGCCTAATTTGACCCACAGATCACAGTTTGACCATTCTTGTAGTAGAACGATCTGTAGCACAAAGATAAGAAAAAGAAAGGAGATCATAATTTTAAAGAACAGAGCAATCTGGGAGCAGGAATCAAGAGAGGTATACAGTTTTTTCAAGGAACTAAATAAAACTTTTCAAATTAAAAAAAATGTTTAAAACAATGCATGTAACAAGAGTAAATGCAATTCAAGCAAGAGAACAAGATATATCAGTGGAAAACTAAAAAGCAGCCTAGAATGATAGGCTGAATGAAAGTGAGGAGTTAAGAAACCTAGAGTATAAAATGAGAAT